CCCAATGTCTCCCTTCACTCACTTTTCTGTTGTCCATCCCCCAGGGAGGAGGTTATATGTAGATCCTTGTAATCTGTTCCCCCTTTCTTCCTCACCTTTCCTCCACCCTCCTGGTATTGCCACTCTCACCACTGGTCCTGAGGGGTTCATCTGTCCCGGATTCAGTGTGTTTCCAGTTCCTATCTATACCAATGTACATCCTCCGGTCCAGCCGAATTTGTAAGGTGTAATTGGGATCATGATAGCGGGGGTGGGGGGGTGGGGAGCATTCAAGAACTAGAGGAAAGTTTTATGTTTTGCGATACTGCACATCATTTCTACACTGCACATGAGCTTATAATGCCCCAGTTACTATTTACCAAAATAGGAAGCAGAACATTGGCTTTGGGGACTATGTTATACTAATAGACCTTGCTGTCTCCCTAGACCATGATACTGAACCTTCAGATTCAGTGACTTATTTCCTCAAGGAGTTTGGCTATGGGTAAGAAGTTTTCCTAACATCATACCCTGTATATTGATGGATATATGTGCAGTATGGGTAAATACTCAAAAAACTAACACAAAAAACTCACTTCCATCAAGTGTGAAATATACAATTATTGTTATAATATAGGGTAACTATAACTTATTTATGCTAGGAGCCAATAAATTCGTGTTATTCACTTGATTGTGATAGTCACTTTATTGGTGTGATCTGGAATTGAACCTGAAAAATCTCCAAAATATGCCAGTAAGGACTACTGCATGGCTGTTACTAGGAAGAGCCATTGATTCTAGGATGCATTTTAAGTTGGGAGACGACAAATTGTGGAAACAAGTAATTTTCTTAAAAATCATTGATACAGGATAATGGCAACTACAGTACACTGTGTAACCTTAGCTATGATTCTATAATTATAAATTCTCTAATTTATATGAATGTCAAAATTATAGGTTTTAAGCATGTTCTCATATAAATTGTCTTATATTTGTCTTTGTAACAAACCTACTAGTTAGTGAGGAAGTGTGGTATAAATGAAAGAAAGTGAAAGCTGTGTAGTATGCCAAGACCCTCACTTACTGACTTTGACCAAGTCTTTTAACCTCTCTGGAACTTAGTGTCTGTGAAGGCAGGGTATTTATACATACCTCAGACAAAGCTGGAAATTGATCTAATCTACAGTATGACAAAAACTTAATGAACAAAGTCAATATCAACTACGGTGACTAGATAAGACACTTATTATGAATTTTATTTTACAGAGAAGCAGCTAGAAATCAAAGGATGAAGCCGAGTATTTCAGATCTTATAGGCAGACACTGGTACCATCTTGATAAGTACTCGGGTCTCCTTACACCTGGACCCACCCATGCTCCTTTTTGGTCTGGTGCCTGTAATGGATGTATGTACACAACCTCCTCCGCAACCCCCCCCCACAAAAAAAGTATGTTAACATTCTAAACCCTGTTACCTGTGAATGTGACTTATTTGAAAATAGTGTCTTTGCAGATGTAATTAGTTAACATGAAGACAGACTGGTCCTAATCCAATATGATCAGTACCCTTAAAAGAACAGAAGAGACATGTACAGTAAAGAACACAGCCAAGAGACTCCAAGGATTGCAGGAAACCACTGGGAGCTAAGAGAGAGACAGAAAAGAGTCAATCTTGTTAACACCTGGATTTCAGACTTAACAGCCTACAGAACTGTGAGAGAATAAACTTCTCTGATTTTAGACCGTCTATTTTAAGACACCTTACATGGGAGCCCTAGAAGAGTGACGAATTCCGTCTTTACTGTATGCTCTATCAAAATGAGGTTTGAACATGGTTTCTTTGTGTAAAGATTTAAAAAGTCATACAAAGATGTAAGGACAATGAATAGGAAAATCTATGGTTCTGACATAAACAGGCAATTAGCCATTTTTAAGTCAGCAAAACAAAAATTGTTTGTGGTGCCTAATGATGTCTGAAATTAGTTATAAGGTTGACATTGATCGTGATTTCCAAGAAAGCTATTGTGAAGAATTCTTACTAATCCCAAAGGTTAAACTGTAGTAACAAGAACAACAAAAAACCAATCATGTAGCCCTTAATTTCATTGAGAATGAACACTGGAAGGAGCATTCGTGTTTATTAGATGAACAACCAGGGAAGCAAAGTGATATGTGAAAGGTCACAAGGGCTATGTTCAAAGATTATTTACTATCTGTTATCATTTTATTTTAGCTGAACTATTTCTATTTATTATGGAGATAACCCACATACTAGAAGTAAAGCCATCATGCATTGGCTGGTAAGCACTTATTTTAAGAATCTCTTCCCAGCTCTGAAGTCAGTGACGTCAACTTGAAAGCTTGAAATTGGTAATGGTGTCAATATTTACATTATGGAAATTGGAAAATGCTACAAATAGCAGCTTCCCCTCCCATACTACCAAGAACTACGGAGTGAACGGGGACCTGCTCATTAGAAATTAAGTAGAGCAATGGCCAAGACCCAACCACACCTATGCTCTCTCCCATGTCTTGCTGATCATGAGTCTTCTACACATGGGAATTTCCACACAGAAAAGGAATATTAATTTCATTCATTAAATATTCACTAAATACCTACCAGGCACCTGGCACCAAGGTGGGCTGGATATAACTAACCAACAAAGGTAGCAGCCTCCTGTTCTGGGGCAGACCGCCCATTGAATGGGTGCTTCTTGCAAGTGTTTGGTTGATTATGATTGTGGAAATCAAACTGAACTTTGAAGGACAAATGTTTAAAAGATAGGAAATGTTTGTAACAGGAGGTGACCCTAGAGCTAAGAGAGGAAACCTGAGCACTTAAAAAAAAATTTTTCCCAATTTGGCTCTGAAATCTGACTTTTGCTCCTACATAACTTTGACGCCATATATTTTTAGTCATGAATTACTTAAGACACCTTTGAGATACTAAGGCTATCCCTAAATGGCTAGCCACCATATACCTACCTTTTTGAGTTTTTTTATAGTCACTTGAAGATCCCCAACTTCTGTTTCATATTGGCGTCGGAGGTCACTAAGTGCTTCTTCAGCTTTGCGTTTTTCCTAGGGGCGAAAAAAAAGCTTCTGTGGTCTATATAGAGGGCTAATTTCAATAGGTTCCACCTCTTAAATACCATGGGTGAGCAATCTTTGGTATCAAACTGAGGCTGGCCCTAAGCCTCCTGCTTAGGGCAGATGAGAAGGGGTGGTAGAAGTAGGCTTTCAATAGACAACAGTTCTGGTTTCTTTTCAACTAAGGTCTTTCCATGTTTTATTTATTCTTTATGTTGTTTTGTGGGGTTTTTCTTTGTATGAAATCCAGGATAGATAAATCTATAGAGACAGTAAATGGATCCGTAGTTTGATGGGGTTGTGGCAGGGGATGTGGGTTGGAAAGGGGAAGTGAATAAAAAGAAGAACATAAAGGAACATATTCTAAAATTGATTATGGTAATGACGGCACAACTATTTTTAATAGGTTTAATTTATTGAATTATATGCAAAAATAATTTTTAGAAGGGAATACTCTTTCTATAAGAATACAATGACCCCAATAGTGAATTCAGACAAATATTTTAAAAGAAAACCACAAAGCAATATATCTTATGAACATATATGCAAAACTTATGAAATTTTCAAAACTTATGAAATTTTAGCAACTGAATTCAATGACATACAAAAAGTATGTCCTGGTTTTCAGCCATGCAGCATTCCCTTGTTCTGCTCCTACAACTGTCTCTTGATCCATGTACAATGAAGTGTTCAGGAAGTCCCTTCTTCCCAAGGGTATCCATAGTTTGTTTATTTGGATCCGCCCAGTTGAATGCCTCAGCAAAGTCAATAAAACAAAGTCAACATCTTTCTGGTATTCTCTGCTTTGAAACAAGACATATTTGACGTCAGCAATGATATCCTTTGTTCCACATCTTCTTCATAATCTGACCTGAACCACTGGCAAGTCCCTGAAAGTGTACTGCTGCATCCCTTGCTGGATGATGATTCAGTAAAAAAATTTACTTGTAGGTGCTGTCAATGATATTGTTCCATAATTTGTACATTCTGATGAATCACATTTTTTTAAATGGGCACAAGTATGGATCTCTTCCAGTTAGTTGGCCAACAAACTGTCTTCCAAATTTCCTGGCATAAACAAGTGAGTGCTTCCAGGACTTCATCAGCTTGTTGGAACATTTCAATTGGTATTCCATCAATTCCTTAAGTCTTATTTTTGGCTAATGCTTTCAGTGCCACTTGAAATTCTTCCTTCAGTAGCATTAGTTCATGCTCATAAGCCACCTCCTGAAATAGTGGAATGTCAACTAGTTCTTTTTATTACAGTGATTCGGGGGGAGTTATGAACAATTAAAAATAAAAGTTGCCATCGAGTTGATTCTGATTCATAGTGACACTACAGGACAGAATATAAAAAACCCATGGCATTTCCAAGGCTGCAATGGAAGCAGACGTTCTCCCATTGAGTGGCTGCAAGCACTTAACTATTGTGCCACAAGGATCAATGAACAATGTACCACTAACCTTACATTTACTGTTGAAATAATTAATGCTTTATGAGATGGGAAATGAGCCAAAGATGTATGTTCTCATCACTCCTATTCCTCTATTCACTTCAGTAAATAAAATGCATCACCCATATTGAAAAAACAGTAATACAACTCTCTATTCATAAATGGATAACATGATCACTTGTTTAGAAATTGTGATGGAATACACGAAAAAATTAAAAATCTTATCCTAAGCAAGTTACTTAATATTTTGGTGCCTCCATTTTCTAAATGAATAATTATGAAGAATAATTTGAAAAAAGTAAATTAAATATTCAATATAAATTAAATAATTCACATTAGTAAATACTGTTTAGCAATGCTATAGAATGTAAGATTAAAATTTAAAATCAAACATATTATTAACAATGAGTGATCAGAAAGCAAAATTTTAAGGCATCATATATAATAGCATCAAAATATGAAATAATTAGCAATCAATTTTAAATAAATGTTTATAAGTACTTACTAGATTCATTTATATTCATGATAACACTTATTTAGAAATAACTATAAAACTTGTACATTGAATACTATAAAACATTTTGAATATATACTAAAAACACCTATTTAAAGGTGTTTATATATATAATGCTTATAATTCAGAAGAATTAATATTTTTAAAATACCAATTCCCTCTAAATCAGTGGTTCTCAACCTTCCTAATGCCGTGACCCTTTAATACAGTTTGTATAGTTGCGGTGACCCCTATAAAATTATTTTCATTGCTACTTAAAAACTATAATTTTGCTACAGTTATGAATCAGGCGACACTTGTGAAAGGATCGTTCGACCCCCAAAGGGGTCACACAACCCCACAGGTTGAAAACTGCTGCTCTAAATTGATCAATAAGTGGAATGAAATACTAATCAACATGCCCACCATTTTGTGTTTTGTTTTATAGAAATTGAAAAGTTCAATATATAAGATTAAACACACCTAGAATATTCAAAACCCTTTTAAAAAGAACAAAGTTAAAAAGCTAATACTACATGATTCCACCATTTATTTTAACAACATGTGTATCAAGACAGTGGGATGCTGAAAGGAAAACACAAAAATCACTGGAACAGAATAGAGAGTCTAGCAATCAGCCTGCACAGATATGGTACTGAATTTGGACAAAAGTAAAAAAGTAATTCAGTGAAGAACAATCTTTTAAATAACTGATACTGGAATAACTGGATAAATACAATACACACAAAAAAACTTCAATCTACACCTTGTGCTACATATAAAATGGAACATAAAAGTAAAACCTAAAACTTCTAGAAGAAAACACTGGAGACAATTGTTTTTAACTCTGGGTTAGGCAAAAATTGGTTATATATTATACCTACTATAAATTTGATGAACTGAACTTTATCGAAAATTTTAAAAATGTTTAGTCTTCTTCAAAACAGTCATAGCCTGGGAGAAATATTTATAGATAAAGTATTTGATAAGGGACCTGTATCCAAAACACATAAGAACTCTCAAAATGCAATATTAAGAAGGCATACAACCTACTTTTTAAGTGGACAGAAAGTTCTAAAAGCTACCTTACCAAAAATATTTAGAGGTATACACACATGAAAAGGTACTTGACAATACCAGTCATTAGGTAAATGTAAATTCATACCATAATGAGATTCCTCTACGCTCATTAGAATACGAAACTCGCAAACACTCTCATACACTGGCAAAAAGTATAATAGAGGGGTCTAGGGGAGGAGATGAGCCAGTCACGGTGCAATGTAACAATGATGAGAAATACAACCTTCCTCTAGTTCCTAAAGGTTTCCTCCCCGCTCCCACTACCTCGAATTCTATCTTGCAAGACTGGCTAGACCAGAGGAGGTACACTGGTACAGATAGGAACTGAAAATACAGGGAATCCAGGACGGATGAGCCCTATAGGACCAGTGGTGTGAGTGGCAAAACAGGGAGGGTAAAGGGAGAATGGGTAGGAAAGAGGGAACCGATTACATGGAACTGTGTATGACCTCCTCCCTGGGGACAGACAACCGAAAAGTGGATGAAGGGAGACGTCGGACAGGGCAAGATATGACAAATACCCATTTATAAACTATCAAGGGCTCATGCGGGAGGGGGGAGCGGGGAGGGAGGGGAAAAATGAGGACCTAATGTCGGGGGTTTAAATGGAGAGAAAATGTTTTGAGAAACGATGTACAAATGCGCTTTACACAATTGATGTGTGTATGGATTGGGATAACAGTTGTATGAGCCCCTAATAAAATGTTAAAAAAAAAAAGTATAATAGTACTACTAACTTACTTTGATGTAATATTTAGGCAGTATCTAGTGTAAGAACAGTTAAACATGCACTGCCATATGTAACAACTGTTCCCTACTAGAAATTTACTCAAAAGGATTAAAAGCAAGTGTCCATACAAATACATACGCACAATGGCCCATAGCTTTCCTAGAAGTAATTACAATACCTGTCAACAGAAAAATGGATAAGGGATACTCAAAATGTTGTGTATCTGCAAGAGAATATTACTCAGGAATAGGAAAAAAGGAATTATTGATACGTGTTACCACATGAATATACCTTAAAACAATTATGCTGAGAAAAGAAGCCAGGAAAAGAAGGGAGCATACTATATTAGTTCCAATTATATAAAATTCTTAAAAAGTCAAACTCATCCTAGTGAGAGAAAACAGAAAAATAGTGGCCTGGCAAAGAAAGGGCAGGACGAGGGGAGGTAGGAGAAGTACATGAGGAAGCATTTACAGCGAATGGGTATGTTCCTTAACTCAACTGAGCAGATGACTTCATGGGTATATACATATTGAAAAACTCATTGTATCATCCACTCTAAATACATGTAGCTTGTTGTATGCCAATTACACTCAATACATTGTTTGAATTTTTTTTTCTTTAACCCTCAGCATCCAACAGTGCACTGCAGATGGCAAGCATGACAGAAGTCAAGGTAAGGAAGAGGGCAATGTAGCCCTCTTCAAAGATAAGAAGTGCGCATCGGAGAGCAGGAGAGTTTTTCTGAGTTTACGAGAGGGCACAGAAGAGGGAGCCCCATCATCCAGGTGAAAGAAACAACTGCAGTGAAGAAGCACAGCAAGACGAGTCATCCCAACCAGCCAGCACGTGCATGGGCTCAGCCTAAGTTGGGAACTGAGAGGACAACAGCTAGCAACAACAACATCGTGATAGGAAACTGTATATTCCAGTAAGTAAACATCAAAGTGTGACCACAACATCTAATTTCAATGCCATCTATGTTAAAATTTGGCAGCATCAATGGACAATTAGATAATGGTAAGTATTCATAAAAGTCAATTCACCTTCTCCATTCAAGTTTGGCTCTCCAATTTCCTTCAGGACTCTGACTTCCCAACCTAAAGTAGTCGCTATCCTAGCCACTGCCTATCATACATGCTGCTTTATTTTCACCATGCACTCATCACTACCTGAAATCATCTACCCTAGTTACTGGTTTACCTGTTTATTATCTCCTTATCCCTCCTCCCCCATCCCAAAGAATCCACCACTACTAAAAATACTTTTTCTGAGCTCTTCCATGAAAGCCACACCCCTATACTCTTCAGGGTGGCAGGCACATAAAACACATTGCATGAATGCACTGAATAAATGGGCCAATCCCAGAAACTCACGTCTTTCCGTGTCTTGTGCTCTGCAGCTTGAATCCTCTGATCCATTTCCTCTTCCATCTCACTCAGCTGCATGGCTGCCTTGTCCTGGGCTCTGAAATCCAACCAGATGTATGTCTTTTCATTATGTTCCATCACGTAGCACAAAGACAAGACCTCAGCCTCACCTATTCCAAGCCACAATGGATCAGTTGCCATCAAGCCAATTCTGACCCATGGAAACCCATGGTTATCAAAAGAGAACTCTGCCCCACAGTGTTTCCATGGTTGTCACCCTACAGAAACAGATCACCAGAATGTTGTTCCCCCAGTGGAGAGGTCGGAGGGACTGGCCCCAATCCCAACTATGTGGATACCTGCCCCTCCCCCCCAGAAGAATATACTTCAGAGAACTTCACTGAATCTGCAGCTCTGAGAGAGGGACATATCTGATTAGAACATGTGGGAGCAGATGAAAGGGTAGGAGGAGAGAGTGCAGCACATCCTGGCACACCAGCCTTGAGGATGATGTTCCCGTTCAGAGCAGCAAGTCCACAGAGAAGACCACATGGCCAGACCCACTATGACACACGAAGTCCCTCAATGACCCATAGCCCTACAGGGGACAACACTGGAGACACAGTGTGGGAATTACGCCCGATCTGA